TGTTAAGGATAGTTGACCGTTCATTATAAGGCAAATATCTAGATATTTGCCTTACATTACCGGTTACCATATTTTCCCTTTTACTAAATGCAAATATATTGTATTCATTTATTATTCTTTCCTTTTATCGCTATTTCCTTATTATTTGTAATTTACCTTATTTCTGTAGTCTGTAAATGATTATAAATAAGAGAACTCTCACCACCATTTGGGTGTGTGTCCTATTTTAGTAGACAATTGTCATTTTTCAATATACTTTCAAATAAAAGCGGTAAAATATTCTAAAAAAATCCAATAATATTTTATGAGCAAACATTTAATATAATGTTACAACCCACGTAAATAAGGTTGCTACTACATGCATATCTTGACTACCAAATGCGGAAATCCTTTATAACGATTTATTTAAACATAGTCATAGAATTAAATATCTATAAAAATTCATTTGAAACAACAGTGATGTTAATAAACAAAGAAATCGAAATAACAAAAGTTTTAAATAATGTTAACGTCCTAATCCAATTTAAGGGCTACAACATTAAACCTTAATGTGACTGCCGTGACTTTGTATCCATAGCCTCCACAAAGATAAAATAATTTGTATATGAGTGTCTTAACTTTACCTGAAAAATAAGTAACACGTGGCTTGAGTATCTAATGCTCAGTAATTATTCCTAGTGTTGGAGTTGGGAAATGCAATCATTGTTAGACCTATCTTTTCATAAAATTTTTCATTAGTCTCAACTTTCTAATCAAGACAAGGTTGAATGTATAGTACTTCTCTACACACGGCCAACGTATGTGCACATGGACTCACCAACAGGCTCGTATATGTACATCTGGGCCTAACTATGGTTAGCGCACATTCACGCTGTTGGAAGCCACGAGGGAAAGGAACACGCAAAATATCATGGTGTACGCATCCGTACTAATCATATTGAATGAAGTATCCTGATACACATGACATACAAAATGCATGAGATATCGTTGAGACATGCATACATATACTAGACATATCTTTAATGGTTAACACACATGATTTATCGATGTCTCATAGGCATGATGTGAACATGTTAACATAATACACATGGTGTAACATTTGGAAGTACATACATCTTATAACATTCATATCATAACGTAGTTTCATAACATAGCATAATCATACATAACATAACATCATAAAAATAGGACACGTAGAAGGGCCACATGTACATGTCTTTCATACAACATACAAATCATCAAACCAAGTCTATAGGCGTCGAACAGTAAAGCCTCTTACTTGGTTGGCCTAAGTCAAAGTTGCTAATTATTCTTGGTACAAGTCTTAATCTACTTGTTAAAGTTCAATTCAACCTATAATTGGCCCACAACATCGGACTATAGGTCAGGTCAGTTTGGGTTACTGGCAATGGGTAGCTACTAGGTTGGAGATACATCTAGGCTAGATTGCGTAGATCGGTGGGTTGGTTTGGCAATTGCAGTGTGGCTGGAGAAGTCTAGGCCGCTAGCATCACTGGTGTGGACTCAAACAACCAAGGTTTGGATGACTAGGTTGCCAAAGTTTTGTTCTAGAGCTTTGTTCGATTTTCAAAGCTGACTTCATACTTACTTTCATACTTCCTGATCTGTAATGTGTGTCGGGTCGGTCAAGTACTTGCGAAGCATGGACATGTGGAATACATTATGAATCACGAAGAGGGACAATGTGTAGCTACCTTAGATTTCTACTTATCTAGAGTTGCTACCGTCATCATAGCATAATCATTTCTATGCGAAAATAAACGTTTAAACTTCTTCATAAGACTTAAATTTCATGTTAAAACACAGTTATGAACTTGCATGTTTCAAAAAAAATACCTTTAAAATGACATAACATTAAACTAAATGAAATAAATAAACATTTAAATTAAAAACATCCTATTCTAACCCAAGTCTAAGAAAATAAATGCGAATAACCTTTGTATGTGTCATGGTCTCGAATTATGATGTATTTATTAGCTTTACATAGATGTGTTGCCTTTACCTGGAATAGAAGTAGCATGTGACTTGAGTATTTTAAGAAATTCTCACAAAACGACCCCACTATTAGGGTTACATTCAAACACATACAATCATGAATAGGACCTATCATACCAGTCTATTTTCCTACGGCAGCTATCCTAACAGACAATTGGATGTGTAATTAATTTTCCTACACACGGTCCACCGAGTCTATTTTCCTATGGCAGATGCCTTAACGATTGGATGTGTACTTAATTTCCCTACACACGGTTCACACGTGCGAGTATGGACCAATAAGTCAGTCCGCACACCTCCTCGCTTTACAAGAATAATAAATACAATAGCTTACGAAAAATGCTATCATAGACTTTTTATAGCGTTCTTTCGTACGTCGTGACAACCCATGTTATTAAAAATCTGAGACTTTTTATAGCGTTTGTCTATAGCTATCATAGATGTTATAATAGAGTACGAAATTATATACATTGATATGAACACATTTTATATCATTTTATTAAAGCTATAATATATTTAATATAGCTAAAATATTGTGCTATCATTAACTTATAATGACATTTTTTTAATGCTATAGCATTTATAGCTCTAATGTGTACTATAATAAAGTTATTTATTCATTTATAATTATTATAATCACATTTTTTTTAATAAAATTTAATTCAAATACTCATTTTTTAACTAAATAAACACACACATGAAATTCTGGTGACCCATTAAATACCATAACTTCCATTCATAATTGAAATTTCATAATCTATTTCAAGAGTAGTATTCAATCCTTTCCTAACATAAAGTTATTCAAGCTATACAAGATAAAATATTCTCCACGGGAAAATTATTCAAATAATACAAGACAAAATATTCACTATTTGCAATGATGTTCAACGAACCGCTATCATGTCAAGACTTCACTTTGAAGTGTAAGTCCTCTATCATCTTCAATTTCCCATAAAATACCAACAATCCGAACTTTATTTGTACCTATATGTGTTGGTCATGGCCTCGTCTTTAGACACACACCTACATCTAATGTGCATTATCATAAAAATATCTTCTTCAGCCTCCCCCGAAGTATACCAAACACTAAGATAAAAAAATTTGAAAAATTAATCACATCAAAGTCTATCATGGGGAAATGAACCAACTTTGACATCATGAAAAATGCTCATTTTGTGAAAAATTTCAAGAAACATGGAGTCATTTACAAAACTAGTTTTATCATCATCTCCGATATTTTTAGAATTACCATTAGCAATAAACGAACAAAAAGTAACTTATCATTTTTCCATCACGTGTGCTGCTTTAATTTTAAATTATAGAACAATACAACAATAATGATCAACAAAGAGTGAATGGAGAAACATAGAAAGAAAAATAACTTGCTCATAAATTTCTTTAAATCATCTCTAAGAGAATTTTTGAACTATTTGTGCTTTCTAAAAAACACCTATTGAAAATTATAAACTCTCAAATGCTCCAAATAATTATTTTCATTACAAAATTTGCACATGAACCAACCATGAAAAAGAAATGAAAACTCCCGCTGCAAGGATTCAATCAAGTTAAGCCTATAAAAGGCATAGTTCCAGACCCTTTATAATAATCATAAGGTACCAATATCAGTATATATCACAAGAAACTCGTCGAACAAGCAACATATTAGTTACGTATCACAGTATTCATGCACCCAAACACCAAATCAGAGAACAGCGTGAATGAAAATGGATAGATAAGAAACCAAAATTGACATAAATTTGAGCATGATACGCTAAAGAGACTCCAAAAACCTCATAAAAGACATAGAACAAACGACTTACCTTCACAATTCTTTTGATGCTTCTGTGCCTCATCATACCACCCAACCATCAATGAAACTCCAAAGATAACCCCGATAAAGATCCCAGTTTGCAACCCCAATATGCTCCGCCAATCAATGAAACTCCAAAGATAACTCCATAAAGATCTCAGTTTGCAACCCCAATGATACCTTATAATCGCAAAAAGTAATCCTATTTCCGCATAGTTCTTAATCCCAACTCAAAAAAAAAAAAAAAAGTAATAATAATAATAATAACTATAAAGGTACAGAAACAAACAAATCGCAAAGCAGAACTACAAATGGAACAAGAAAACCAACCCAAAAATATAAAACTACCTCGAAATAGGGAGGAGAAGAAGAAGAAGCAGGAATGGGAGATGAATAGAGTTTCAGGACATATCGTAATCATATCGTTACATTACGTTTATCGCATCCTTCTCGTATCCTATTTCAAACTTATTGTCAAACGCATCAAACAATAAGTGTTATCATACCATTTACCTATCATAACATATACATATCATATATCTTAATCATATCGATTCATAAACAATCACAAATATCAATATATAGGACATGTGCAGAACCACAGGGCACGTGTTAACATCAAATATAACTATGTCGATAGTAAGGTCACTTACCTGATTAGCGTAGGCTGGTGTCACCAATTTATCCTTGACAAGAAAGTTCGATTTTGTCCTTTGTATCGAAGTAAACCTATATGAACTATGACATCAATTTCAATTTTAATTCTCTAAATTTTACGTGGGTCCATGTGTTAGACTGGTTGGGTTTTATGTCCCAAAACTCATAGTTTGTAAACAAAAATATATTATATTTTCAATAAAGTTATTATTGATGTTTATTCAGTAAAGATTGTTATTTTAATAAAGTGAATTTTACGATTATTAATCTAAATCCAATAAACTATGAACACTCTAACTATAGTATGATTACTTGAACTATATGTAGAGACATAAGAGTGGATCAAGTACAAGTATATAGTCAAAATGATCTATAGTATAGGGATAAGGCTGAGTGCCTTATCCTGGGGACGCTATGGATGCGGCCCCTATTTGTATATGACATAAACAATGTGATCACTAAATTGTACATGCGGAGACATGTGAGTGGGGCGTCCTATGCAATTAGATCGGACCATGAAGAAAATCACTCTCACTTTATAATGTCGTTTACTATTGAGAGTGGTTTTCTTTTCATTTGATGACCTAGGTAACTCGATCTTAATCCTGAGCTAACCATCAACTCCTATTTATTCGGAATTATCCTTAGATTTTCAAGGGTGAGAGTGGTTGAGTTTGCTGACTCAATAGGCCTCCCATTTCAAGGGTAAGATTGGGTGAATGGCGAAGGACGTGGGGTGCAAGATGGAATTTGCTCCTACCTACTTTTAGGGATATTAGAGAGGTAGTTCCCTTAAGTGACTCCAAGTCTTTATCAAGGGGTCCCACCCTCTCATTGGCCTGAGAGGGATTTGGTTTATTGGTAGGACCATAAACCAATTGTTCATTAGAGGATCAGTGGGACATAAGGAACAAGAAGTAACTTCAGGAGTAAAACGGTAAATTAACCCAGCTCTAGTTATGAACAACCTGTGAAGGATCGACTTACTAATCATGGTTATATCAAATGGACAGAAATATATCTATAGTGAGGGGAATGCAACTACTAGGCTATAGTGAAGTGTCCTAGTAGTTAACAAATGTTGGTTAACAAGATTAATGAGTTTAGCCGGTTAATCTTCCATTGTTGGATCCTACGATCTATAGGTCCATTAGGTCCCCCTGCTAGCTCATATCAGACTAAACCATAGAACAGTGTGACGAGTGAGTTCGAAGTGTTAGAATTCAAATTAGAGGATATGCGCTACATATATACGATATATTTAACCGCATTTTTGTTTACGAATTAAACAAAAAGAGAGAAACAGAGATATTTAAATAGGATTTAAATATTTTAATCAAATAGGCGTTGGAATTGATTGGGATTGACATTTGAATTAATGTTAACAAGGCTAGTGGTCGTTCGAAACCGGTTCACGAGGAAAATGGAATTTGAACTACAAAAGGTTAGTACTCAAGCTCCTTGAGTTTTAATACTTATGAACATGCTAGTTATTTACTATAATTGATGTTCTAACAGTGCCTAAGATCAGAATTGCTTCCGCATGTGTTATATTAACACCATCGAGACTTCATGTGCGCATTAGAGATTTTATAAATAGAGGGTTGGAATGTTATATATAATTATTTTTTCATTAATGATCTCATTCTCTATTATGTCTGTTCTATGGAAGATATTGGTATGTTATATGAAAAAATTTGATAGAATTTCTTGATTTGATACTTCCTCTATTTTATCTTTTAATTCTATGTATTTATTTAGTTAAATTTAAAATGCTAACTAAAATCGTATTGTATCATGAATACAAGATTTGATTATATTGTAAGGCAATTGATGGTATAAAGTAAAGGAGACCTCAAATATGACTTACTATAATAACAAAGCAAAATCTCTCTAGGTAAATCATTGTGAAAAAGGAGATATTGTTACACGGTAAGAGATCTAAATTATGACTTTTCATAATAACAAAGCAAAATCTTTTTGGGGACGAATTCGCTGAGGAGAGAGATTGTTGGGAGAGGGACGAGAGGTTAGCGAGCAGTTTGGATAAGACTCTTATTTTTTTTATTTTTTTATTTATTATTACTTTTTCTTTCACCCTTATTATAATCCTATCCGATTTAGTTCAATTTCCTAATTTTTTTCAAATTAAAATTAAAAGAGTTTGTTCGGCTTTAATTTGTAGATTTAAAGACGACCGACTCTTATTTATTTATTTATTTATGGTAGTAACTACTCTTACCCCTTATTTGATTTATTCCAGGACCATAAATGACTCTTTTATTTTTATTTTTATAGGGTACTAACTATTATGGTTATAGAATTAAACTTTATTAGTAAACCTATAAAAAGAATATGAATTATCTATTTTAAAAAAATTGTAATCTCCTCCTTATTCATGCATTTATCCATTCCTATAAATACCCACCAACATTCTCCTTCAACAACCCATCAAATACTCTTCATCATCTTCAAACTTTTTCACCATGCCTAAGGCTCTTTTCTTCGTGGCTTCTCTTCTCCTCTACGTCATATCGCTATCGTTGCTCGCGGTGGCAACCCAACGTTTAGATTTGGCGGGCAGCTACAAACCAATAAAAAACATAGATGAGCCCGAGATTCAAAGCTTAGGTGAGTTCGCAGTGAACGAACACAATAAACAGGCAAAAACTCAACTCCACTTCCAAAAAGTGATTAGTGGAGAAATGCAAATTGTGGCTGGGACCAACTATAACCTTCGATTGACAGCTCTTGAGGGGACTAGTAGCCGAACCTATGGCACCTTTGTGTTCACTGATCTCAACAATAAGAACAACCTTGTCAACTTCTTTGACGTCCCCAGCTAGACTTCTTACTTCCTATCAAACACTATGTGTCTTTCTAATTTTCTATCTTTTTTATATTATGTTATGAATGTTTGGAATCTCGATCAACCTTATGTACGGTTTAAAACTTAATACAAGTATAATTTTGTTGAATAAGATATATGTCTTTGAATAAAAGAATTATACGATCAACTTTTATTTATATAAATAAAACAAAAAAACTAAGTCATATGAAAGGATACATACATATAATAAATCTAAAATAATTAGTGTCATTACAAACAAAATTAATTTCATAATTTTAAGGTACACATCTGAAATTCAAGTATATGTTCAAATAGAATAACTTAAATAAAATATATAATACAAAATTTAAATCATCAAAAACATTGTTTAGATAATGAAAATTAAATATTAAAGAAAAAAATTTAAGAAGTTTCCTTCTATGCGTCGTTGAAAAATCAAAATATTTCAAAAATCACTTTTTTTTTTTTCAAAAAATCAAATTATTTCTGGTTTGGCCAACTTGAGAAGTTTTTTTTTTACTCAGTTACATATGCTTCTTGAGGCAGGATGGGGTTAGGGAAGTCTTTCCATACCCGCCTCCTATTTTAATTTCCATCATCGTTAAATTTTCTATTTATTTTTTCGAGGATCCCCGCAAAATATTAACGAATATTAGATTGTTTGTAGGAAAAATTTCTCTGAATTATTTATTTATTTGTATATATATATATATATTCATTTTAAAGACTTTTTAATAGATAAGTGTCTGCTGTTGTTGAGTGGCAGTAAATGAGAAAGAGAGTTTGATTTGATTCAAAAAACCATATTTATATTGATAGAAATATCTAAAGTGTTTCAAATATGAGAATAGAAAACTCATTTTCGAGTATAATTTCTAATAAAAATGGTAAAATATTCTAATAAAATCCAATAATATTTCATAAGCAAACATGTAATATAATGTTACAACCAATCGAAAAAAGATCACCACTCCACGCATGTCTTGACTACTAAGTACATAAATTATTTACAAAACATTGACATATATTTTAATGTTCATAACAATTCATTTAAAACAATGATGTTAATAAACAGTGAAATTGAAATAACAAAAATTTAAATGTAATTTTAACACCCTTATCTAACCTAAGAGCTAGAACAGTAAATCTACTACCCTGACTTCGTATCCATTGCCTCCACAACGACACAATCATTTGTACATGGTGTCTTATCTTTACCTGAAGAAAAAAAGTACACTTGAGTATTTAAAAATACTCGGTAAGTATCTGCAATGTTGGAATCGAGAAATTCAATCTTGGTAAAACACATCTTTTCATAAAAATTTTCCTTAGTCTAAACTTTCTAGTCAAGACACGGTTAAACGTGTAGTAATTCTTTACACATGGGCTACATACGTAAACATGGACCCACCAACAGGCTCATATATGTACCTCTGAGCCTTGTTAAACGTAGAGTAAATCATATTTGTGTATAGTAAGATAATCTAGTGATTTACTAGATTGTTACCAAATCTATGATTTACTAGTTTGTTACCAAATCTATGATTTCATATATTTGGTAACAAACCAGTAAATCATAGATTTGGTAACAAACTAGTAAATCCTAGTAAATCACTAGATTATCTTACTATACACAAATATGATTTACTCTACGTTTAACA